GCATTTCCGTGCGCTGCTCTGGTTTCACCAGAAGTGGCTTAGTCATGCTAGCCACATGACCCGGAAAAACTGTCTGCGGACAAACTTCAGCTCCTTTGGCCAGTAAAGCAAAATAGCGCCACAACCCCAGAGTCGTTCGCGACTGGACATAACTGTCAGGAGTCCTTTACCTTTACTGCTACTGGCAGATGTTCTGTTACTACTGAGTTAGAATTCTAATACTAATTGGTTAGAATTCTGGACCTGTGTTCAAATCCTTGCTCAGCCATGAAGTTCGCTATATGACCTTGGGCCAATTACTGGCTCTCAGCCCAACCTATCATGGCTGTTGTGAGGTTAAAACGGGAAGGGTGGAGGTCTATGTATTGAGCTCCTTGAGGGAATGGTGGGGTGGAAATAAATGATGCGTCAAAGGAGCATTCCTTAAAGCAATCTACCTGTAGCACAGTCTAGGATTCATTTCCTTCCCTGCTCTCTTTTTCAAGAGATTTACAAAAGGTCAAAGATTCATTTGCAACGCTCCCGCCCCCCAGCCACAACGACTCCTATGAGAAGGGTTACTGCCTCCTTACAAGTGAGCAGGTTAATGGCACATTTATAATCATGCTTTATAAAGATTTTATAAGAATGGACTGAATAATATTAATGATATGTGAACATGTGGCAAGAATGGATTTATGTTCCAAGCGATTACATTTTACAAGCCGAACTCAAGCACTGACATAATTAACACAGTTAGCAGAAAGCACTGCCTTGTTATGAATCGTTGTTTTGATTTTTAGGAAAACAGTAAATAACAAGAAAGCGGGGGTGGCTGGGGTGGGTTATGAGCTGATTATTCATCTGCCCGAGGGGGAAAGAGTAGGTTTCACTAGTGAAACGGTGGCACCCCCAATTTTGATCCGCAGAGGTAATCTTGAGAGTTCCAACCATTAAGGGGGACAAAGGAGACATAATGCAAATTGCATTCTCGAAATTGCAATCAGGGAAGTCAAGTTTTAATGAAATGATTGAGTTTTTTGTTTTGATTTGTTTAGCAAGCCTGTTGGATGTGGAACAAGATTCTTTGCTGGTTAAGTTTCTGCTTCACTCTCTGACCACAATATTGAAGTTACCACTTCACACAGAGATGGAGGGTGGTGAGTTTTTACCTCAAAGGTAGCATTTAGATGAGCAAATGGTCAACCGGTCTAATACAAGGCTTTGATACAAAGTCTTTCTCTCTTACAAGAGAGTTGTTACAGGAGTCCAAGGTTGCTTGCGTGCCCCTTTCTTCTCCTGGATGGCTCCTGGTAGGACGTTCTCCAGCCTCTTCCACGCTGAGACCATTCAGCCAGCTGGCTCCCACAGCAGTATTCCTCCTGCTGCATGTCCTTTGCATTCTCCTCTCAGACCCTTCTCTGCCCCTCCGCCAGAAAAAGTCTGTTAAGGAGAGTCACAAGACAGGGACTCGGGAGCTGGTCCTTAATTACATCCCTCTATTTCACCGCTGTTACGCTTAACTCCTTAATGCATGACACTGCTTTAAGCATATGGCACAGATGGAGCCTAAGGTCCAAATGAATGCGTTCTTGCGCAGCTCCTGTTCATTTGGGGCTTGTGCAGGAGAACAATATGCAGGGTTAGGCCGCAACACGTCGTTTATGTCTTTGTGATTCCAAGCATGATCTTATTTTCTTCTCTTTAATAACAATTTGTAAGATCGGTCCGTCCGCCCCCACACCTCCCTGCCCACTGCCGGCTGAAATGTATGTGTCTCAACTGGTTGGAGTCTAATTATGTCTGTGCTGTTGCGACTGACACACAGGCGGGACTTCATTATGTACTCTGCAGTCACGCCTGTCAGCTGCAATCCATTTGTCACTACAAGTTAGATTTCCATAAGAGATGACATGATGTCTTAAATTGGATCTCATGTGGATAACCGCAGCAGGAGTCTTGGAGGAATTGGGTGCAAGCTCAGATAAGCCGAATCATTTTTACAGCTCATGCCTGGAAATTCAAAGGCGGAGGTAGAAAGTATAAACACACAGGGCCGTCTTTAGCATATGCAGTGCCTGGGTGAAAAGATCCACCCAGCACCCCCCAATTTCTGCAATTTGATTCTGCAGTTCTTCCACAAAAGAGAACAGAAATGACCCATTGACTGCAATCACCCAGGGGTCATGGTTAAGAGCTTAGGCGGCTTCAGCGGCCGGCACCCTGCAGAATTCAGCGCCCAGATGCACCGCACCCCTTGCACCCCCGAGTAAAGACGGCCCTGTAGAATCATAGAATCATAGAGTTGGAAGAGACCACAAGGGCCATCGAGTCCAGCCCCCTGCCAAGCAGGAAACACCATCAGAGCACTCCTGACATATGGTTGTCAAGCCTCTGTAAACACAGGCTCTTTTTCTCAACCTTCATAACCAGTGGCTGACCTATATATCTGCAACTGAATCACACGGTACAGCAGAGCAGTGGGCTCCCAAGTGCTTTGAACTACAACTCCCATCATCCCTGATCACTGGGCCATGCTGCCTGGGGCTGATGGGAGTTGGAGTCCCAGAGCATCTGGAAAGCCACAGGTTCCCCATCTCTGTTTGATCTGCAGTGGCTGATTCACACATGCAAGCTTCCGTTTGATCAGAGATGGGGATCCTCAGGCACAGGGTCTAAATCAGGGCCTTTCCACCTGGCCTTTGGTACTCTCCCCAGGCCCTACCTGTCCCTGTCCCTCCTCAAGAGCTTTTGCCTGGCTGGAATGTGCCATTAAACTCTGATAGCACCTCTTGCTTTTCTGGATGGGAATCCAGTGAAGGGCATGGGATTTCATGTAGAAACTAGCCTTTAGAAACAATTGCCATTTGTTGCTCCATCAATTTTTCAGTGTAGCTGTTGGAATTTTGCTCAGAAGAGAATGTGGCCCCTGGACTGAAAACCCTGCCGTTGATGGTGCAATCGGGGGCAATAGCACGCATGTGAGAACTCTCCCTTAACCATCCTCTTCCAAAACCAGCCATATGCATTTCCCCATTTCTGTTTACGATATCCTTGCCCACACAAGCGACAGAATGAAACAGGCTGCGCAACGGGAGACCTGCCAGCCTGCTAACACGACGTTGAATACGCCTAATAAATAGAGGGAATTGGAAAATTATGTCGTCGCTTACATGACATCTTCTGTTAACCCGGCGCTGTTCTTTTCGCAACTTGCTGGCTCCGCTTTCGCTGGTAGAGCAACAAGTTTCAACACAAGCACCAACCCTGCAATCATGGCGTATTGTTTCCGGAGAATTCCATCTGGCAACCAAGCCAATGATTACTTTATTCCAACAGTGCGTGTTGGAAGCGACCTCTTTATCTGTCATCTTTCTGCATTCTGAAGTAATCAACTGCGCCCTCTCTTCCCCCAATTATTTCTGAACTATGGTAGTAATCACTGGGAAACAGTTCTTCTTTCTTAAAAGCTCTCTCTTTGAAAGAGCCTCATAATTTTCTCTAATGCTAGTAGTCATAAACAATATCGGTAAGTCGTAAAAACATAACGGCTTGCGATTAATATGAAGGGAGTGGGGTGGTAGTGGGAGGGGTTTGACAGGAACACAGCCTAAGTTTAGCAGCACACATTTGGCAGAGATCTGGGTTTGGGGGATCAAAATTTCTGCTGAAGTGCGGAAGGCTGCAGGATGGTATAGGGATCAGGAATTTTGTTTGCATTTTAACTTCGCTGGCCTTCTCCTGAGTTGGTGAGGCTCATTTCACAACAATGAGAAACCAAACCTTTGGCATCATCATCCCAGTCCTGTGTAACACCCTGCCAATAGATATTCAGCAGACGCCTTCTATGCCAACTTTTAAATGCCTGCTGATGTATTTTCTATTCCACCAGGCCTCTGCGGACTATTAAGAGTACGTCCTTCCACAATGGTTGATAGGGATCTGCTTTTATCCCTTTAAAAAATGGTTCTGTAGTGTGGTGGTTGTTGCTGCTGCTTCTATAAACCACACACACACACACACACACACACACAAGATATAGTGCAATATAAATACTATTATAAATAAATAGCATATACAAATATAAACTACTTAATTCATGCTTCTTGAAACAGTATGTGAGCTGAAACAACCATATACCTAAATTTGCATTTCTCTGAAAGTTGTGATGCAGTTCTCCGATCAATGTACACAAAAAGTGCATTCATTGCACAGGGGCGGGGGGAGGAGGAGAAAATGCTTGGGGGAAATTGGATATATTAGTCAACATCAAAATGTGTTTATTAGGAGAGATTTGCACTAAGATACTGACAAATTTTCAACATGATTTTTTTTCCCCAATGCAAAATTGCTATGTGTAGAATTGAATTTGAGATGAGAAGAATGTGTAGAATTGAAATTCAGATGAGAAGAATGAGCAAGGGAGAGAAACTGAAAGCAACAGATTTACTCATCCCATAGTATGGAGTGGAGAAACAGAAGGCAGGGAGAAAGGTGCTTCACTTGTCTTCCCAGCACCCTTCATCATTGACTATGCTGTCTGGGACAGATGGAAGTCGACAGTGGCGAAGCTTCATGCTCCTGGACCGGGGGGCGGGGGGCGGAGAGCAGGCGGTGGTGGGGCTGGAACGTGTCCCATGGGTGGGGGGTGCCGCCTGTAGGGGTGTGGCACATGTCCTGGGGGCGTGGCGTGCCGCCTGTGGGGGCGAGGTGCCAGCATAGGAGCACGGGGCGCACCCACGATGGCACCCCGGGGATTGCGCTGCCAGGGGTGGTGCGCTCCCCCCCGTACTCCTCTTCCTCCGCCACTGAAAGTTGAAGTCCCAAGAGCATCTGCAGGGCATTCTGTCAGCCTCCACCCCCAAGCAAATCACGTTTTGTATTGTTACTTAATGCCTTCCAGGAAACCAATTCCATAGAACTAAGCAGGCTTTGTAGCAACCAACTATTGCACCTATGTGGCAACTCTCAAGCCTCCACCAGTCTTTGTAATAGCAATGGTTTAGTACAAGTCGGACAAAGTGGATTTAGTTGTCCCATGTATAACTCTGTGCAGAAGTTAATTATTTGCTATTCTGTAATATTGCACATTACAGAATAGCAAATAATTAACTTCTGCACAGAGTTATACATGGGACAACTAAATCCACTGCGTAATATTGCACATTAGGGACGCGGGTGGCGCTGTGGGTAAAACCTCAGCATCTAGGACTTGCTGATCGCATGGTCGGCGGTTCGAATCCCCGCGGCTGGGTGCGCTCCCGTCGTTCGGTCCCAGCGCCTGCCAACCTAGCAGTTTGAAAGCACCCTCGGGTGCAAGTAGATAAATAGGGACCGCTCTGGCGGGAAGGTAAACGGCGTTCCGTATGCTGCGCTGGCCACGTGACCCGGAAGTGTCTGCGGACAGCGCTGGCTCCCGGCCTATAGAGTGAGATGAGCGCACAACCCTAGAGTCTGGCAAGACTGGCCCGTACGGGCAGGGGTAACTATACCTTTACCTTTAATATTGCACATTGGAGGGATGCGGGTGGCGCTGTGGGTTAAACCACAGAGCCTAGGACTTGCTGATTAGAAAGTCGGCGGTTCGAATCCCCATGATGGGGTGACCTCCCGTTGCTCAGTCTCAGCTCCTGCCAACCTAGCAGTTCGAAAGCACGTCCTGTGCAAGTAGATAAATAGGGACCGCTCCGGCGGGAAGGTAAACAGCATTTCCATGTGTTGCTCTGGTTCGCCAGAAGCGGCTTAGTCATGCTGGCCACATGACCTGGAAGCTGTCTGCAGACAAACACCGGCTCCCTCGGCTTATAGAGCGAGATGAACGCCGCAACCCCAGAGTCGGTCACGACTGGACCTAATGGTCAGGGTTCCCTTTACCTTTACCTTTAATATTGCACATCAAGACATCAAGCCATCTTACATACTGTGTTAATAAATATTATTGTGTTTCTACATGCACACACTGCTTCTTCTGCCTTCTTTTCGCCCTTACAAGCCTCTCTTCCCTTTTCCTCCTCCCACCCAGGATGGAATAAAGCAGGGGTAGCCAATGTACTGCCCTCCGCATGCTAGGCTACAACACTGTAAGGGAGGCGGGTGTCGGTAAGGACCAACAAGGTGATACTTCATACCGTGATTGACCTGTTGGACATGCATGGTCTAGACAGCAGAACCTTACACAGAAATCAAACCTTTCCCTTCGTGCAACTATCTAAAAGGTTAAATGCAATTAAAAGTGAAACACTGAAACGTTATTAAAATTAAAAAAAATACACCTTGTGTCTCTAATTCTTATATCAACAAGAAACAGAAAAGGCCTCGGCCCAGTATACCTAAAGGAGCGTCTCCACCCCCATCGTTCCGACCGGATGCTGAGGTCCAGCGCTGAGGGCCTTCTGGCGGTTCCCTCACTGCGAGAAGCAAAGCTATAGGGAACCAGGCAGAGGGCCTTCTCGGTAGTGGCGCCCGCCCTGTGGAACACCCTCCCATCAGATGTCAAAGAGATAAACAACTACCTGACATTTAGAAGACATCTGAAGGCAGCCCTGTTCAGGGATGTTTTTAATGTGTGACATTTTAATGTATTTTTAATCTTTGTTGGAAGACACCCTGAGTGGCTGGGGAAACCCAGCCAGATGGGCAGGGTACAAATAAATAATAATAATAATAATAATAATAATAATAATAATAATAATTAGTTTGTGTGTTTACACATGCAGGACATCACTTGTGTGAACAAGCCCTAAGAATCCCAACATATCACTTTGAATGCAATTAGACACCAGCATGCACCAATGTAATAAAGCACTCTTTTTTGCAGACCTAAAGTAGCCTGTTTAGTTTTGCCTGTGTAGAATTATCCTTCCCCATCAAATATGGAAACAAAGCAGGAGAAGTTTCCAAATGGTTCCATAAAGAATCTTTTGGTTGATAGGGAAGGGGGGCTGTTGACCAACGGAGGATGTTGAGAAACAGCCCCCAAACAGCTTTCTCCTTTCATAAAATTAATAAATGGCACCTCCAGCGTGCCAAGGAAAATGCTGAAAAGATGCAAACTTTAAACCACTGCCTTAGTGTGAATTACTTGCAAAAAATAAAATAAAAAATGCCTCTTCTGCAGATGAATGCCTTCCCATATATCTGCTCCATACATTGCACAGACACCATGAAAATTGCTTATTTCTAATAAAATGTAGCAACTGTACCCCGAGGAAAAATTACGGCATTATGAAATATTTTTTCTCCCCCTTTTCCCTCAGTCAATTTAGTTTTCATTTAAAATTCAATAACTGCATCATACTCAGAATCTTCCAAAACCGCTATAATGATTCTGAACCAAAAATGTGAGCAGTAAACAAGGAAGATTAGAAAGCCATTATGAAGGCAATTTTTCCCCTTTAACCACGCAGATGCAGAAGAGGATAATCTGGAAATGAAGTAAATGGAATAGAGGAGCCCCATTTATTCTCCAAAAACCCATGGAATCACAGAGTGGTGAAGAAAGGGGAAGGGAAGAGATGATGTAGTCCAACACTCTCACTTCAATGCAAGATTTACAGAGCAGGATGTAGCTATTAGTTCAGGTTACTAGTTTAGGTGTATACAACTTGGGACCAAGATACATGAAAGATCAGCTCACCCCTCATGTAAATGACTGAGCATTGCACTCTGCTGGTGAAGGCCTTCTGCAGATACCATCTTATTGAGAGGTCGATTCCATACAAAACAGGAATTGGGCCTTATTGTGGCAGCACTGAACCTTTGGAATTTATTCCTGTTTAATATTAGACAGGTGCCATTTTTGTTGTGTTTTCAGCACCTTTCTCTTTCAGCAAGCCCTTTAAGTAGAGATCTTTATCCCAGTCTCCATCTATGTTGGAATTGTTTTAAAGTTTCCCTTGGTATGTAGATCCAGTCTCCAGATTTCAGAGAATGGCAAGACTCCTTCACTGGTTCCAGGAGGGTCCCACTAGCAGCAAACAAAAACTGTCTTCTTTGATTTTTTTAGCGGCAAATCCTTTTTCACCAGCTTGCAGTTTTCTAGCCTGTGCATCCTGTTCCTTTTTTTTTTACAAAGTTTTTGGCCTTATGTCTCTTTCAAGTATGTTGGTGATTGTATTGGTTTTGAAACAAGGGAAAGCCAAAGCCAGTTTTTAATAGCAGCAACAGCATGACACAAGTTTGTTCTTCCCCCTTTTTGTGTTTAACCCATTCACACACAAAACACACAAATTTTGGCTGTTCAGTCCCAGCTGGTTTGCAATTGCTAGGGCTGAACTTTTATCAGACCCTCCAAGTGTCCCTATTTCACAGGGGCAGTCTTGGATTTACAGAAACCACCCTGGTTTCTGATCTGATCCCAGAATGTCCCACTTTTCCTTAGGCCATCCCGATTTTCATCGACCATGGAGTTATGCAACCCTTGAGCCAAGGAGATACAGTACAACCTTTAGAAGACACCTGAAGACAGCCCTGTAGAGGGAGGTTTTTGAACTTTAAATGTTTTATTATTTTTTTATATATGTTGGGAGTCTCCCAGAGTGGCTGGGAGAACCCAGTTAGATGGCTGGGGTATAATTATAATTCTTATTATTATTGCTATTATTGAAAAGGAGTCCCTATTTTCACCAGAGAAATCATAGAATCATAGAGTTGGAAGAGACCACAAGGGCCATTGAGTCCAACCCCCTGCCAAGCAGGAAACTGTGAGGAGAACCTGAGCTTACAGGGTTAAACAGCTCAGAGTGTACGCCCTGCCTCCTGTTGGGAGGGGGGAACTTCTGCGTCATTTCCGAGAGCCGAGAGCTTTTTGTTCTTTCTCTCTACTTTCGCTTTTGAGGAGAGAGGACGTGTTTTCACGATGCTGTTCGCTGTGATAGATAATGGATAGTCTGCTGTAAATAAAACTGCTTTTAGCTGCTAAGATCCTGCGTGGACTTTATTTAAGCACACTGAAGAATGCTCTGGAGTTTTTTGCAGTCTTTCTCTTGCCGCTGCAGATCTCTGCTTTGCTCAGAGAATCGGAATGCGGACTTTGGAATGCGGAGGCTTGGGCGCGGTGGGAAGCGTGCCGGACGTCAGGCTTATCTGAGCAATAAATCAATCTGCTCAACAGAAACACCATCAGAGCACTCCTGACATATGGTTGTCAAGCCTCTGCTTAAAGACCTCCAAAGAAGGAGACTCCACCACACTCCTTGGCAGCAAATTCCACTGTCGAACAACTCTTACTGTCAGGAAGTTCTTCCTAATGTTTAGGTGGAATCTTCTTTCTTGTAGTTTGGATCCATTGCTCCGTGTCCGCTTCTCTGGAGCAGCAGAAAACAACTTTTCTCCCTCCTCTATGTGACATCCTTTTATATATTTGAACATGGCTATCATATCACCCCTTAACCTCCTCTTCTCCAGGCTAGACATGCCCAGCTCCCTTAGCTGTTCCTCATAAGGCATCGTTTCCAGGCCTTTGACCATTTTGGTTGCCCTCCTCTGGACACGTTCCAGTTTGTCAGTGTCCTTCTTGAACTGTGGTGCCCAGAACTGGACACAGTACTCCAGGTGAGGTCTGACCAGAGCAGAATACAGTGGCACTATTACTTCCCTTGATCTAGAATCTATACTCCTATTGATGCAGCCCAGAACTGCATTGGCTTTTTTAGCTGCCGCGTCACACTGTTGGCTCATGTCAAATTTGTGGGCAACCAAGACTCCTAGATCCTTTTCACATGTACTGCTCTCAAGCCAGGTGTCCCCCATCTTGTATTTGTGCCTCTCATTTTTTTGCCCAAGTGCAATACTTTACATTTCTCCATGTTAAAATTCATCTTGTTTGTTTTTGGCCCAGTTCTCTAATCTGTCAAGGTCGTTTTGAAGTGTGATCCTGGGGTGTTAGCCACCCCTCCCAATTTGGTGTCATCTGCAAATTTGATCAGGATGCCCTTGAGTCCATCATCCAAGTCGTTGATAAAGATGTTGAATAAGACCGGGCCCAAGACAGAACCCTGTGGCACCCCACTAGTCACTCTTCTCCAGGATGAAGAGGAACCCTTTGGGTTCGGTCAGTCAGCCAGTTACAAATCCACTGAGTGGTAGCATAGTCAAGACCACATTTTACCAGCTTCTTTACAAGAATATCATGGGGCACCTTGTCAAATGC